GAGAATGCAAAGTTGTACCAATCACAACAGTTGATCCAGTCAGGCATAAAGGAATTGAACGAGGCTCGTAATGAGATCAAAGAACTACTAGAAGTTGCCCGCTCCTTGAGAACAGGAATAACCCAAACCTACAGTCCTGCTTCAAGCATGAAGAGTCCTCCAGGCGTCACAGCTCCCTCGTCTCCCCTCAAAGCAGGCCCTCAGGGGGTAAACGAATTGCCTCCTCCGCCCTGGCCTCAACCCGACTTGACAAGTAACATGCAGCTGCTCAACATGGAAGAGGCCAGTAATCAACCATTTTACTCGCCTTCTCCACCTGACCCCATTCACTCCTTCGAATGGCCTCCTCCACCTCCTCCGTGTCCATTTCCAGCTCCAGTGAAGACGCAGCCACAACCTCCAGCAGATCAGAAGCCACCGGCCTTTCACATACCTCCCCCCACTCATAGCATTTCACCGGCCGTATGTGAACCAATATATAGAGGCCCTAATCCTACCATTCCCAAATTTAGCAACCCAGACCCCAGTGAGTTTGCAAGGCTACGCATAGCTTTGGAAAATCTGCTTCCAGCCAATGCCACTGAGCTGTTTCGCTATCAAATACTGGTAGATCACCTCAAGTTGGAAGAAGCCATGCTTATTGCTGACGCTTATTTGAATTCCTCCACGCCATACACCGATACCATGGCAGCGCTCAGTGATAAATTTGGTCAACCACACCAACTTGCCCTTAGGAAAATAGCTAGTGTCCTGGAGGCCCCTGAAGTTAAGCGCGGTGACACTGCATCCTTCCAGAAGTTCTCCCTACAGATACAGTCCCTAGTAGGCCTACTACAAACCCTTGGTCCGGCTGGAGAAATTGAACTTCACTGTGGCTCACATGTAGCACGCCTCCTAAGCAAGCTCCCTGCCGAGCAGCGTGCTGACTACCGCCGGCACCAGTTTAAGCAATCAAGAACGAGCCACACCCTCTATGATCTGTCGGACTGGCTTCGGTTCGAGTCCCGATGCCAAGGGTTCGACAGCCAAATCGATCCACGAGCTGGAAGGGAGAAACCAAGCGTGAGGAAAGACGGTCGACAAGCCAAACAAACAGTGACCATCCTGCATGGTGCAGGTGAGCCCGCAGCACTCAATCAGAAGAAGAGTGGAGTAGATAAGAACAAGTCCAAGGCCAAAGCATACTGTGCCTACTGTGAGAACAACGAACATTATCTTAGTCAGTGTACTGAGGTTGCCAAACTCTCCAACGAGCAGCTTAAAGAGTGGATACAGGCTAACAAACGC